CCCCCGCCGCCCCCCCAGCTACAGCCGCCACAGCTCCTATGAGCGCGGCGGCGACGTGTCCCCCAGCCCCTACAGCAGCAGCAGCTGGCGGCGCTCCCGCAGTCCCTACAGCCCTGTGCTCAGGTGAGTCCCGCCGTTTGCTTTGGCCGCGTCGGCCCGGTCCCCAGGAAGCAGGGCAAGCGGTGGCTGGGCGCTCAGAGCCCCCCGCCCGCAGCGCCTGACGGGCGAACGCAACTGGAGACCGGGCTTCGAGCGGGGAGAGGCGTTTTCGCGCGCCGGTGCCACCTTTTGGGGGGCGGAGGGACAAAGCAGCTGGGCGAACGGAACTTTCTCCCGGCTCTGGCAGGGACGCTTTCTAAGCAAGAATGGCAAGGTTTAGACTTGTTGCATTAATGTGTTAACAGGTTTCTCTCAGCTGTTCTTTGCTTTTCCGGCACAGTTGGCTTGGGTAAACCTAGAGATGGTTTAAGTTGTCTTAATTTTGGAAGTTCTAGGGAGACGTTTACTTTTGGGGATTTAGGAATGCACTGTAGCTTAGGGACCAGTATTGTGCAGGGGAATCAGAGTCAGGTGGCGATGTCAGAGTTAGACATGGATTGCAAATGTTTCAGTGATTACTTCAAGGCTAGGAGAAGCAACCTTGTAAAGTTTATTTTTTTAATATCTGGAAAAAGCTTTTGTGGAAGCTGATAGTTCTGTATTCTGAAGGTAAGAAAGATACCTATTTAGTGATGTTCTTGTGTAGGACAGTTTTCTACCTAATCTTTCAAAGTTATAATTTTAAGAAGTAGAGCCGGGCTCGGTGGCTCAGCCTGTAATCCCAGCGCTTTGGGAGGCTGAGGTGAGTGGATTGCCTGAGCCCGCGCGTTCGAGACCCGCCCGGGCAACTTGGCGAGACCTCGTCTCTACAATAAATCAAAAATTAGCCAGGCATGGTAGCGCATGCCTGTAGTTCCAGCTACTTGGAAGGCTGAGGCGGAAGGGTCGCCGGAGCCCAGCAGGTCGAGGCTGCGGTGGCCGGGAGCGGCCACTGCACTCCAGTCTGGGCGACAGAGTGAGACTCCAACTCAAAAAAAAAAAAAAGTAGAAAAAAAAATGGCAAGATTGTGGTTTCTCTCGGTTTGTGATGACACCCAGTTGCTAATAACAAATTGTAAATCTAGTTGGTGCAATTCAGTGAATGACTTAGTATATTCTTATACTGTTATAAGCTGTAACTACTTACTTTAAAGTTAACTAGACCTTTAAATAATCAGAATCTTTGTTCAGAAATCTTTAATAGGTAAAATTTTATCTAGTGAGATTGGAGAAATTTGCATGTGACTGTTTCACTTTTGTTATATAATATTGCTTTTTAAAAAGCGTGCCTTTGTATGTATTTGTTCATTAAGTAAAGTGAATGAGAAACAACTTTAAGAGTATTTTGCGGGTTCTTACATTCATTGAGGTGTTTGGAAATTTTAGGTCTTATAATTGGGGGGATTGCAAAATGACATTAGGATCACTATTTTCCTATTGGTTTTCAGTAATGGCAAGTGGATGCTGAGTATCGCTAAGTATGAGTTATGTCGAATCTCAGTGCGCTATGAATATTAGCAGATCTGCAAAGGCAGATCCTTTTGGTGTGTCAGCCTCATAAATGTTTGCAAAGATATGCTGTATGTAGGGATCTGAGTGTGAACTTGTCTTTAAACCAAAAGAGCTATGTAAATTTCTTCATTCATAGTGTTCAAGCACGATTAAAGTGCTAGTTGATTCCTTAAGCCAATAATTGAAAACTCGTTTACAAATTTTATCTTTTATGTCTTGTAAGACTTTGTATTTTTCTTTTAATTATAATATTTTGCGTTAGCTGAAAGTTATGCATTTTTTGCAATTGAATTTGTTTTGCAGATTGATTGGGTTAAGTTTCAGGACTTTAGGTAGCAATTTTAAGAATGAAATTTGTTTAGCAGGCTTTTTACTTGCTGGATACTTTAGCAAGGTCTTTTCTTATATAATAGAGGTATGTGTTTATGGATATATATGTGATACGGAAGTGGTATGTATGATCAGGACTATTCATATTTAGCAAGTATTTTTTGAGCACATGTTGTATGCCATTCCGTTTTAGGTACTGGAATGTATAGCAAGGAAGAAGAAGTTAGTTGGCTTCATGGAGCTTGCATTCTAGAGGACCATTTATTACTGAATCTTTTCATGGTGTTTATACTGACCACCAGTGTTTCTAAAGGATTGGATTTGGAAGAAGCTTTAGAATATCTTGGCCAGCATTCCTGACAGATGGCCCTTGGGTACGTTCCTGAGGTGGGAAGCACATACTTTGTATTTGGGACTTTAGTTGTAGTCCTGGTTGGCCCAGTTTCTTAACAAGATCCTTGGAGACTCAGTTTTCTAAACTGTAACAGGGAATATTTGTTTTTTTTGTGTGGATTATTTCAAGGATTAAATGAGAATTTGTCTTTTGTAAAGCATACAGCCTTAGAGAACGAAAAGGTGGTTGAATTATTGTTGAATAGTTTGAATTGTTAGATTTCTTCATATTGAAACCAAAATACACCTCTATGCCACTTCTGTCCACTTCCCCAAGTTTAACCCTTTGAAATGGTACAGAGCACCCATGGATGCTAGCTCTTTAAAACGTAAAGACAGTTGTCATATCTTCTGAGTTTTCTGAAGTCCAGAAAACTCTTCATTTTTCATGAAGTGTGGGTTTTAGATTTTTCACATTATGTTATATCTGGTTTTTCAAATGTCCAGTTTAAAATTTGGGGCCCAGAATCAACAGCAAAATAGTTTATTGGAAAACTTAAGATTTTTAAATTTAGATATTTATTATTACTGTTTATAAAGAATTAATTGAATTTATTTGTCCAGCTTAATGCAGAAAGTTTTACTTTTAGAATTTAGTAATTGTAGTAAGTTGTCCATATTCTTTAATTGACTGCTGGCTTGTGAGCTCCATGAAGCCAACTGTCTTGTCTTGCCCACTGTTGTGTTTCTAGTGCTCAGCATGGTATCTGGCACAAGTAGATTCTTAAATAATTGATGAATAGTAAATGAAGAGCTAATGGAGTTTATTGAATATACCAAGTATTATCGTGGGTGTGGATTACATACATTATTTAAGTATTTAATATAGGTTATGTGCTATGCTGTAAGAAATAGTGTTATTTTTTTCCAGCCTACATAGAGCTTATATGTTAATTAATTGTCAATGTAGATATTTTAAAGAAAAGACATACAAATCCAAAATGGTATGAAATCATGGTGTGAAGTTTTTTTGGTGTCACATCCTAGAATAAATCGTCCACACCCTAGTGACTTTTACTTTACAACCTGTTCTTTGAATTCAGTCCTCACATGCATTTCTTTTCATCAGTTCCTTCTTAGCTTTATTTTTCCCCCTATAGTACCTGTTTACCATATTTTCTTTACTACTTGACTGTAGGAGTGTGGAAAGTTACATAATCTTGCTGAGTGACCTTACAATAAATGTGAGGGTGTATTGAAAACAGATGCTATTCAGGAAAGGGAGGGGTTTTGTTACCTTGTGTAGTGTTCTGCTGTGTGCTAGGTATTGATAAATATTGAACATGCATTCACCCTCAAAACACGTGTGATAGTTGGAAATATTCCCAGTGATAGATTGGGAAACAGGAGCTCTAAAAAGTTAAGTGATTTGTTCCAGGGTCAGCTGGGATTCAAGCTCTAGGCTGATTCTAAAGTACGCGTGCTTAATATGCTGTATTGAAGCTCAGTTGACATTCAAGGAAGCTGGCCACCTCACATAATGACCTGTGTTGCTGAAATTCAACTCCTCTCTAGGTATTTATTTGTTAATTTGTGTTCCCTGGTCTTTTTTTTTTTTTTTTTGAGTCGGAGTCTCACTCTTTCACCCAGACTGGAGTGCGGTGGCCGCTCCCGGCCACCGCAGCCTCGACCTACTGGGCTCCCGCGATCCTTCCGCCTCAGCCTTCCTAGTAGCCGGAATTACAGGCATGCGCTACCACGCCCGGCTGATTTTTTTATTTATTGTCGAGATGAGGTCTCGCTGCCCAGGCGGGTCTTGAACCCGCGGGCTCAGGCAATCCACTCACCTCAGCCTCCCAAAGGCGCGGGATTACAGGCTGAGCCACCGAGCCCAGCCGGCTTCCCTGGTCATTTTTTCAGCCTTTTGAGGATTTTTGAAGACCAGTTCTTCTAAAGATTCTTTCTACTAATTTGTCTTTATTAATTTGTAGTTTTTATGAACAATGCAGTTTAGATTTTGTGGGGTTTTTTTACTTTGTTTAAATGTTTCTTTCTTTTAATTTTAAAGATGTGGGGTACAATTTTCAGGGTTAGGTATACAGATGTTCATTATGCAGGTACCCTTGTTGATAAGGTGTGCCACCCCTTCCCCAGGCAGTTTCCCCGCTACTGCCAATCCTTTTCTTATAGTATTACGATAATTGTTCAAGGTCCGCTTATGAGTGAGAACATGTGAACTCAGTTCTTTGTGAAAGTAAAATGTTTCTTGAAGACAATTACTCTTGAGGATTATTTTTTCAGGTGTTGTCTTGATCTGAAGCCACTAATGTCATATTACTGTGCAACTAGTACAGTACGTTGTTATTATATATTTGGTTCTTTATTTAAACCTGTGGAAGTTCCTTTCCACCCAGAAGAGCAGAAGCCTTCATTATGGAATAATACCAAGGACTGGAGACCCTAAAAAAAATGGGTGGACTGTAGATACAAATAAGTGAAATTGTTAGTGTTTGGTTGTCTATTATCTGGCCTACCTCTGTTATAGATTATTTAGTGTTTTGTCCTGAATACTGTTGTTCAGAAATACATGGAATGAAGATATTCCAGAATGAAAAGAAAGCTACCACTCATAAAATACTACTTACTGGATATGTACTTAATAGAAATAACTCATGAATATTCTTAGATGAATGGAATTCTGAAAATGCTTTTTAAATGGTCAAAAATATAGGATACTAAAATAAGTGCAGAAGCTCTCAGAAGGGAATGAAAATTTAGGTTAACCATCTTGTTTCCAAAGCTGTAATCATTCTTTTCATTCTCAGAAGATGGCCTTCTATTTTGCTCCTTTTCTGCTCAATATTTGCCTG